CTGAACCCACGCGGTTATCTCACCAAACCCACCAAATTGTACAGCACTTTGGTCAGTGTATGCTGTGTGGAAATGTGCTCTATAAATTAAACGTACTTACTTACTTACTTACTTACTTACTTACTTACTTACTTACTTACTAAGAGTAGGAAGACCACAAGCTATATAGACTAGCGTTAATGGACAAGGGATATTTAGAGTTAGAAGAAAAAGCCCAAATCCCACACTTCGGTGCCGTCAGCCTTTAAAGTCTGCATCCAAATATATATATATATTTTTAAAGGTAGGTAGTGTGGAAAAAGGGGGTAGCATTTTAGGATACCTAACAGGGAGTGAGAGGAAGCTAGGAAGCTAGGACAGGCAGTAGGACACTAGGATTCACACTATCGTAATTTGAGTTGGAGAAGCGACCCCCAGCGAGCCAGGCGGTCTTACAGTCCTCCCACTGCCTCCTCAACTCCTTCTCTTTGGGAAACCTCCAAAGTGCAAGAAAAGTTATCTCGCCAGCTAACTACAAACTACAGCTAACTACGTCAGATTCATTATATGTCAGTCGCTCAGCCAAAATGAGTAGCGATGGCTAGCTATAATAGCTAGCGATAACTTTAGAAGAAACCATATAAACTAAATTGCCCATAATCAAGCGCCATTAATAGTCTATACTGTATTATAATATAATATTAATAGACTCTGGTGGCCAACTACTTAGCTCTTACGTTATAATGACCAAATACATTCCAAAACAATTGTTCAGTCTTACCTGTGACCTGTTTGGTTTGCGTTACAGGCCTCTCCGATATTGATGCGAAATTGCCATACAACCTAAAGGCCAACATGGCGTCTATGTACATGTGTATGAGAGGCAGAGCCTGAACCGGAGTTTTATTCTACTGAATTAAACTCATTCGCACGAGTGGATGAAGCTTTCAGAAGATATATTTCCACAGTCCACAGTCCACATGGTGTTGGTTTGAAATCTTTACGGACAGTTTTATTTTATTTATTTTTTTTACAGTTGAACTGCTGGCTGAGTTTGTGTTTGCCAATTACGCGCTTACAAGATCCCCGCCTGCAGCGACATGATCGGTCAAAACAGATATTATGAAGCGAAAGAAAGTAAAACGCCCCGTTCACCCAGATCTGAGCTCGTCCGCCGTCAGGCTTTAGATATAAATCTAAAGTCTGATTTTTTTTCATGAGACTAATGATACCCAAACGTAACGTAAATGAATGCAAACGGGCCGCTACAATTGAGTAGGAAAATAAACTGGTGTGTCGAAAGTCAAATGAACGAAACGCATCGATTTAAACGACAACAGTTTAAAACATGCCTCAGTGCGTTTCGCACCAACATTGACGTTAATTAGGCGGTTGGCCTGATATCCCGTCGCATTTTCACACTAGGGAGCAGCATTTCCAGCTGGATTAAGTGTAATATGTTCTTTCTCTATTTTCTAACAACATCAAAAAAAAAAGAGCTAGGGAGACAGATATGAGAGAAGAGATGGGGTTGTACAGGATTACTCTATCTAGGTCTGTCCTATATACCTTTACTATTATAAAGAGAGGAGATTGCTTGCAGGCCTGTAGGATTAAAGGGCTTCATAACTCCATCTAGGTCCTGCATACCTTCCACTACACCTGCGCTTTTGACCCATTTGTACCTGCTGGTGGGGATGTGGGACGTGACCCACTCTGTGGACCAGCAGACCCCATGTGAAGTGGCGTGGGTGGAGAATAACCAGGTCACCGGTGTAGATTGAGGGGAACTTAGCGGCGTCGTCGGGGGGGGGGGGGGGGGGGGCCTGGGGGACCCCTACTTTAAATAGACGTCAGGCCACGTTCCAGATAACATCTGCTGGACTGGAGCAGAGCAGGCGGGAACACCTGCAGTTACATAGGAAATCAGCTTAAACACAACTTAGGCAGACTGAAGATAGCTTCAATAGCGCAGCAAAAACAAACTAAAGTTATCTCAAACATGACTCCAATCGACTGAAAGCTTAAGTTATCTAACTTAGCTAAAAAAAACTAAAAAAAAAGAACATTCAAATAAAATGGACATTCACCACATCCATTGGAAAGGAGAAAGTTCACACACACACACACACACACACACACACACACACACACACACACACACACACACACACACACACACACACACACGCATGCACACACTCCATACGCTCCATTCACACAAACTTTGTCCCCAACATTGAAAGTAGACAAAGGATGGAGCTAAGCCAGAAGTATCACCGAATCCAAGCCCTTCACAAATGAGATTTTAAGCTCTTTTCTAAAGCACTCACCGCAGTACGACCAATCAGTCAGGGAGGCCATTCACCAGATGAAGCGCAGCCAAGATCAAACAGTTAAATGAGGGAATATTAATGACATCACACAGAGTTAATAACTGACCTTTATTATGGCGGTGGAGTCACTGTTCATAAACACCTTTAATGGCTGTTCTGCCCTGCCACCATCCCTAACGACCCTTCTTCCCCAGACGCCTACCATCTTGGCGTTTCATTAGGACAATACATCCACCCCACCCCCCCCCCCACACACACACACACACACACACACACCACCTCCCTCCTGCCCCCATGTTTTATTTGACCTGCCTCATTTACCGTCCTCTGCCTCTCTGAACCACCCAGCCTCTCACTGATGCCAGCTTCCCCCTCTGGAAGGAACGTAATGGACCGAAGGATTTCTCTCTCTCTCTCTCTCTCTGTCTCTCTCTGTCTCTCTCTCTCTGTCTCTCTCTCTCTCTCTCTCTCTCTGTCTCTCTCTGTCTCTCTCTCTCTGTCTCTCTCTCTCTCTCTCTCTCTCTCTCTTTGTCTCTGTCTCGCTCTCTCTCTTTCTCTGTCTCGCTGTCCCTGTCTCTGTCTCTCTCTGTCTCTCTCTCTCTCTCTCTTGCTTTTCCACATGTCCTCACATCATGCCGGTTTATGTTACGCCCTCTCGGTTTTATTTTATTAGATTAAATTACGTTGGACTTGAATTGAATAATGGGCTGTTTATTAAATAAAGTGTGTGGGAGCGTTTTTTTTTTCTCTCGTCTACTTTTATCGTTTTGCAAATATTGATGAAACGTAATGTATGTTACCCCCATAAGTTTTACACATCGATTGTATGACACGACACCTCGGTTATATACATGTTTGCTGCATGCGGGCACAGCAGAACCACATTCTAACTTGCAACTACTCAGATTGGCTGCAAGTTGAAATCATAGACTGTATTTAAATATGTTGGAATAGATGATTTACTAATTAACTAATGCATTTGCTGTCTAACCATAACTTTAACATAACATGTATGTTTGTCTGTATTTTGGTGTGTTTGGTGGACAGAGGAACCGAAGCAGTGAGTGATGCATGATATTGTTCTGCTTTGATTAACAGACGCACTTCTCCTTCCCGCCACAGAGGGGCGCCAAAGCCGCCAACACGTCGCCTGTCTTGACGAGCCTCGGCGCGCACTGATGACGTCGCATGCACCGTGTTGTGCAGCTACTAGCGCTAGCAAGCTAAAGTTGACGTTTAGTCCTGAATTATGAATCTAAATATGCCGCATAGTCGTTGTTAAGACGTGCTAAATTAAAAAATATCGCTTTCGTCCTTTGTGATTAAAAACCGTTCGGTGAAACGGAGAAAGATGACAGATCTGTCAGCATCTCTGAGCAGAGAAGGATGGTATGTGTTGGACAGACTGGGGCTATGTGGTGCTAGCTGGACTATAATAATGCTCATTAATAATAATGATCATAGTAATAATAGTGATACAAATGACTATAATAAATACTAATTACGTATCATAATGTTGTTAGGAGGAACACAGCGGGGGCTTTATAACCAGATATGAATACGTCCATACATGTTAGACTGGTGTGCATGGTTGAGGCATTATAACCGTCCAAGGATTTAATTTCTATGAATAATAATAATTATAATAATAATAATAGTAAAAATAGTAATTCATTGCATTTATATAGCGTTTTTCAAGATACCCAAAGCGCTTTACATTGTGTGTGTGTGTGTGTGTGTGTGTGTTTGACTAGAATATGAAACTAAGTCCAGTATGTCTGTGATCACTGATCTCAGTGACATTGTTTTCCAATTGTTGCTTGGTTGATTTTTGCTTGGCCCCAAATGATTTAGTATTTTCTAATAGTCTGTTGGTGGATAGTCCATTGTGTCTGAAAGGGTTAGATATTAAATATTAGATATTTAAGACCATGAACACAGGGCAGAAGCCATCTGTTTTATTTCATGTTCTGGATTCATCGATTTGAATCATGGACCGGTGAATAACACCCTGATCACCTCCTCTAGTCTTCAAATCTGAGGGTTTACTATTTATTCATTCAGTTACTTTTTGTTTTTTAGGATTTTACACAATATTAAGGTATATTCCTTTATCTACTTATGAACCGGAGATAATTCACCTCAGATTCATTGAGTTGTAGTACAAAAGGAATATCAGAATAAAACCTTTTATTGTAATGAGTCTGATGCCATATCTGATGTTGTGGTGACTCCAATGAAAATCAATGAATGATATTTGCTGGAATTATGGCACAGCTCTGTTTTCTTTGACATTTCTATATTTTGTCTGCCTAGTTTCATGTCGGGCATATTTGCATAATGGAACTGTATGGGCAGTTCATTGACTAGTCATGTGTTTTAACATTCAAGTAATGGGTTATACTACACTGTTCTTTTTATATGCTAACCTTCTTGTCCGTCTTGCTCTGCCGTACTCCCCTGTTGGTCACCATGCAGGTACCTCACTGATGCTGGGATAGCACAACTCAAAGGCACCAATGAGAAGGCCTCCCACAGTGATATCATCCGTATAGCGCTGAATGTAAGCTACGTTTCCCACAGTTGTCCTGCTTCTTCTCTTAATGCAAGTATATATGACTTAATATTTGCCACTTGCTGGACACTTTCATCCATAACGTGAGTGCGTACGTTCTTGAGCATGGTTGGCCCCAGTGGGAATCGAACCCCTCACCCTGGCAGTGTTGATGCCTTGCTCTACCAGTTGAGCTACACGGGACCAAGTTATGTTCCCTAGAGTCTTGTCAGTCATCCTGCTGTGTTCTTCATCAGTGGTTCTCAACCGGTCTGGCCTAGTCAGGACCCGCATGTGTCATTAAGTCACAACTTTAAAAATAACAAATGTATTTACCAGAATTGCAGTAATCAACAATGCCTTTGTGTACTATTAAAAGCCATTGTAAGCCATTGAAACATGAAATAGCATTGTAACATTAGTTAATTAATGGACTTCTTTCTAAAGATTAAGGTTTGGCATTTGCTCTGCGACCCACTAAAAATGCCCACCAGTTGAGAATCACTGTTCTACATCGTTTAAAAGTGTGTTTCTCAGTATGAACATCAGATCAGACTATCAAGGAGTTGCAATACAATAATGTAGCATATTCTGTGTATAATGTCTACCTCAACTGTATTTTTTACATTTCTGTAACTGTATTTTTATTTACTGTATGTTTTACTGTGACACCCAAATGTCCTCTCAGGAATGTATAAAGTACCATCTTATCTTATTTTTTTTTTACTAGTAACAGGATGATGTTAGCTATGGATTTATAGATAAAAAACTGTCTATTGATATACATGTAATCTGTATTTCCTCTACTGTTTTCTTCCAGAGTGATCTGAGACCAATTGGCCGGAAGGTGCTTCCTTCAGATATCAACAGTGGAAAAGTTGACAAGGTGAGTCCAGTGGGGTTTGGTTCCTAAGAATTTAATTTCCATTCTGCATTATTTTTAAAGGGCAATACTGGTCTGTGTGATCAAACCATCGTAACCGTCTCTCCTGGCTTCACTCAAACATCATTACCAATATCATTTGTCAAAATGTGGCATGTGCCGCCTGCCACAAATGTAAACCATAGCAATAAAGCACTTTGGTCTTGGTCTTGGAGTACGTTTGTGGTGATTCACTGTTATGTTGTCCGCAAAGTCCATATTGATCGACACACATTGATTTGCAAAAGAAGAAAGTGCTATATTGCAATTTTTTTTACATTTGTGGCAGGTGCGTGCACACTAAATGCTGTTGGCAGAATCGGTACAAGGAAGTATTTTTGACAAATGATATTGGTAACGGATGTTTAATTGAAGCCAAGAGAGACGGTTACGATGGTTTGAACACCCAGGCCGGTATTATCTGGAGCTGGGCAATATGGAGCCACTAATACACTAATATCAACATGACCTTATTAAGGAATGACTATTAAGCATTCAGTGAACTAACTGTTAGTAATGCGTCCATGAGTAATGTGATGTGAAAACTGTCAGCTTTATGTAGCTCAAACTGAATCAGTCTGGTATATCCTTTAAGACCAGGAAAAAACATCATTTTTACAACTCTATCTATCTCTCTATCGTTTTATTTGTCAAATATAAAAAAAGACAAATATTTCAAGTAGTTATTATGAGTTTGTGTATTCACTTCAATGCCAGAATATTTCCAGACTGAAAACGAAACTCATCTTCAAAGCATTAAGGCCACATACTGGACCTTGTGCAGAATAGTTTACAAGAGCTGGAATAGAATAGTTGTATTTCTGATAATAAAAGCTGCGCTGTGTCAAAGAGATTCCATCTGAGTGAAGCATGTATGGCGCTCCGTTTCCCACAGTCACACAATGTAAGTGTTTAATAAAGCTGACCCTTTGGAACCTGAAGTAATTAAGTCAAGTTTATTTTGTGTAGCAACTTTCACAGAGCAAGGTCAAAAAGTGCTTCACTAGAGTACATAGTTAAAAACAAGACCCTAAAACAGACAAACAAACAACATACCTTAAAAACACACACAATGACAAACACTAGAGAGCATGAGGCAAAGCCACAGCCAGTTTGAATACATGAGTTTTCAGCTAATTTGTAATGGCGTCAACAGAGACTGCAGATCTAATGACTGTGGCAAGGGCATTCCACAGTGTCGGAGCCACCCCTTCAAAGGCACGATCACCTTTGGATACCAGTGGGCCGTGTGTGATGATAGTGCTGCGCCAGAGTGTACCGTTGCTTTCGATGCAGAGTAGTGCTGTGCCAGACAGAATCCCTGTGTCCTCCATTGCAGCGTGCACCCCTGCATTTGATCAAGACCGCACTTTGCAAAGTGGTGATGTCACGTTGAGCCACGAACGTGCAGCTCTCACCAAGCGCCACTAGATGGCTCTCACACACCGAAGGAGCAGTGACCTGAACCCCCCCCCACCTCCCCCCCCACCTTCCCGCTTGGCTCTGAGTCTACAGCTCTCTGTAATTAATCAGAAAGGAAATGTCACAATGAATAGCAAAGACAAATTAAATAGCATGTGATGCTAACAGCCTGGTGTTCCCAGCGTGGTTGTAAGACCGATATTTCATCCTGGCTCCTATACTGCTGCTTTTCACAGTAAGATTAAAGGGCTCCTATTTTACCACCAGGTGTGAGTATGATTATCCATTACAAACCATTTCAAAATTGTCATGCGACTACCCTCTTGTGACGGCATATTTGGGAGTGTCCACCCATATGTAGGATGGCTAGATAAGCCTATCAGTGGGTACAGTCCACTGGGTAGGCTGGTGGACTGATCTAGTCATCCTACATCTGGGTGGACACTCCCACTTGTGATGTCACTATAGGGTAGGGACGTCACAATTTTGAAACGGCTTGTAATGGCTAATCACACTCACACCTGGTGGTAAAATAGGAGCCCTTTAAGGTTTCTGAAAAAAGGGGACTATATTTTTAGAGGAAAGTCCTCTAATCTTCCCCTGTGTGTGTGTGTGTCTGTGTAGGTAGAGGGACCATGTGTGCTGCAGGTGCAGAAGGTGAGGAACATCTCTGCTCCTAAAGAGCAGGAGCAGTCGCAGGCGGCACCCCGCATGCTGCGCGTGCACGTGACAGATGGTCACACCAGCTGCCCTGCGCTCGAGTACAAACAGCTGTCCAAGATCAGGTACACACACACACACACACACACACACACACACATTCTGCTGTCTAGTGGTCACGGTGTTCGACTTCCCAGGCCAACTTCCCTGGGTTCGATCCCCCAATGACCACAGTCTACCTGTAAGCATCCTAGAGCATATAAGCCAGCCCTAACCTTCTACCTAAGTGTCTGCTCAATGATTGATTAGTTACTAGTAGTAGTATTAGTGTAAGTAGTCCCCTTAGTCCTCTGTACACACGCAGAATTGGCTAGCGTAGTTTTGAACTGAGCTCTTTTTACTTTTCTGGACTGCATGTACGTTCTCTATTATGGTCTATGAATGCAGGATCTGTTTTGTACAGGGCTAATTAGTAAGTACACAGCTAATACCTTGCCTACCTGTGTCTGAACAAAGGGAGTCCATTTACTAGACTATAAAGCGATGGTCAACAGCATGTGGCACTAAAGTGTTCTGTAGTTAAATTAAACGGTCGCAAACGGTTAGCTCAGAATATTAATTTGTCACACACATTACCAGCATAGTAGCGGGTCTCTGCTGGACTGAGTGTGTTCAGAGAGGTGTGTGCCACAACTCTTCTCCATGTTGGTTAAAATTTCAATCACTTTCAATCACCGCTTTGTTGAATACTCGATTGTGATTCAATTACGTTCATTCTAAGGTCTGTTGTTTCCGAATAGCAGAACGCTGCTATGAAAAACAGACCGTTTTCCTCAGCGGAAGCATTCAAATCATCTTTAAATCAATAAAAAAAAAATTCGTCACAGGGTCACCCCTGGGTTTATTTCGCAATAATGACGGGCTCGCTGTACATTATCCCATGGGATGGGGATGGCTTTGGATGCTGGGTCACATGTTACAAGGTCATTCTAGTGTGGACTGAAAGTAATCTACAGTCCGTAACGGTACAAACTGTTTGAATGTATCCACCAACATGGGAGCAAAGACGTGAGGACATGGTGCACTGCAAGTCCCATGGCTGTCATCTTCGAAAAACATCTTAAAACAATGATACAAAAATATACATAAATAATAGAGAAACAGACTATTGGACTATAAGTACCGACGCTTTTTAAAGGGAACTAGGATGTTTTTTTTAAATATATATAGATATCTATATCTATATCTATCTATATATATATATATATATATATATATATATATATATATATATATATATATGTCTATGTCTATGTCTATCTATCTATCTATCTATCTATCTATCTATCTATCTATCTATCTATCTATCTATCTATCTATCTATCTATCTATCTATCTATCTATCTATCTATCTATATATATATATATATATATATATCTTTTTTTAAGTCTGTTTCTATGGTAACGCTCATGAAATACCCATGACTTGTTTTGGCATTAGTAAAAAAAAAAGTAGGAAATGCATTTGGCATTTCAAACCACATGTGTGATATTTGTGAGATATTTGGAGCTGGTGCAGGGCCAGCTCTGAACTTTGGAGGTCCCCAATGTTTTTCTGCGGGCTAGTTTTGGGGATAGTAGTACCAACCTTTATTCCTTGAGAGTTAGCCTACTTCCATAGCGATACTATGAGACATGCGCAAACGCATCAGTCTCTCCCTCTCTGCACACAGGAGGACCTCTACACACGTTTTTTTCACGCATTATCAACCTTATAAAATGGTTGTCGGATTGATCATGAACTGTGGTCCCCAAGTAGCTTGTAGTAGTTAGTAGGGATGTCACGATTCTCCAAATCCACGATTCGATTTGACTTTCGATTTTAAGGTCATGATCCGATTCGATTTTTAGTCAGGGTATATGGCTTGTACACCAGAATGCATCATGGGATTTTTTTGTTGGCCATAATCCGCCATACTGAGGAGGAAGTCATTATTAAACAATGACCAAAAAAACATGACAACCAACATAATAACTAACATTACAATGCTTCCAAAATGGAGGCGGTCAGTGCGATGTGATGTTGCGATGTACAAGTACTTATAGGGGGAGCCGACGTGGAGTTGGTAAATAGTGTGTACAAGTCCACAGGAACTGCATCGACTCAAGCTGCAGTACTGCGTTGGCGTGCAAAGGTGGCAC